TTCTGCAGATCAAGGATTCAAACACGCAGGCTGAGGAAGAAAGGGAATTCCTCATCCACATAAAGGAGCTGATTTCTCGGATCCGGCACGAGCCGTTGTCAGCGCAGGACCTTCTGCTTGAACTCGAGGTAATTTCATTAAATCTGATTGCGTATTGCGCGCCCTGTAGCCAATCACGTGCACATCGTGTGACCTTGGGTGCATTCCAAGAGCTGGGAAGAATGAGCCAATAAGACGAGTGCGCGGTCGATATGAATTGGTGTGCTCAGGGAACACCTAAATTGTCGGTTTTGCAAAATTAGGACATTTTCTGTTTGGAATGTTGGTTTTCCCAACAGAAGTTCATCTAGACAACAGAAGTTTTATTGATTTTCCTGATTGGCTCATTTCAAGTGACCTTGGTCAGACAGCCGGACCTTGTGGTTTGAAAAATGGCCCAATCATTTAGTGAGATTTTCCCTTGCACAGGAATTGTACCAAACAGAGCAAGAACACCAGAGTCTGACGTCCGGTCTGATTGAAATGGGCAAGCGGAAACGCCAGGGCATCCTCCTAGGCATTCTGCCCTCCGAGCTGGCCGAAGTGGAGGCCGAGTGGACGCGCATCAAATCCACACTCGACGAGTGGCGTTGGCGCCTTGACGACTCTTTGCCAGGTGACTGGGCGCGCGTGGGACGCTGGCTTGGCCAACTGGAACGCTCCCTGGAACGCGGCGCGAGGTTGGCCGTGGAATTGAATGCGGCCAGTGAGTCGAAAACGGACGCGGCGACACGCAGTTCACGATTCTTAGCCCAGATGGCCGATCTCCAGGTAACGTTGCGTCAAATCCCTTGTGGTAGTCGTTTGACAATTACACCACGCGATTTTTTTGCGTAGGAAGCTTTGCAGCAAAAAACTGAGGTGTCCGAATTGCTTCGAGGGCTTGCGGAGAAGAACTCAAGAGACGAGTCCACCAAACTCCCCGCCTCGGTGGTCAGGGCGATCGAAAAACGCTTCTCCGAGGTCTCTCACGACGCCGAGATTGTCCTGCGTCGGACACGTCGTCTGCACCTTCGGTGGAAGCTGGCGCACGAGATTGACGATATTCGTCAGCACCTAAACCACCTCAAAAGCACTCGTTGCCAGCGTCTCGATGAGGCCACTGAGAGTCTGGATCGGCTGAAGGTGGGTCCAGTGCTTGTTTGAACTGTTAGAAGTGTTTTGTTGAACTCTTGGAACAACGGCTTCACCGTGGTCGTTGGATTTGACGCGGACGTACGACATGAATCATCTTCAGTCTGCAGTAACAATTTGTGTCGCATTTTCACTAGTAACAGATTATGCACCGTAATCTGTTAATGCTTTCAAAACGCCATCGATTCGAAACAGGATTGGTCATCAACAAGAATGGTCCAATCAGGATCACCCTCTGGGGATTACCTCAAGGTCAATTCAAGTTGACAATACAGCCAATCACAGCAGGACATGTGGACACGTGATGTAATTTTGTTCCGGAGAATCATTTCTAGCGTTAACTAGTGACTTTTCTCTACAAACGTGATGTTAAAGTGGTTAATTTTCAAGCAACAATTTACAGGGAAGTGCTTGTACATGTGTGCGGGTCAATAAATTTTGAAACCTAACTTCCGTACACTTATTAATTGGTCAAAAAAGCCTTTTTTCATTGCCTCATGCAAATTTTTGGCATCATCGCATGTTTCTGGGGACTAACTTCAGTTTGCTCCTGAATTCATCCATGGAATGAGGCAAACCAGCTTATTTTGAGACAAAGTTTCGTAATGTCGAATATATCCATCTTCTGTCCCCTGCATTCCGCACCTTCAGAAATGGAAGGCGGAGAAGGGGCTTCCAGAGGCGATGGAGAAGGATATTTCAGAGCTCACCAACATCTCCAAGGAGCCCGACGACGTCCAGTCGAGCAATTCGTCGTCATCGACGGCGCAGACGACCTCGGAAGAACAGCCTCTGTCGGGGTTCTTGGCCATCCAGATTAAGGCGGGTGGAGGCGCGTTGGTGATGCGCGACGTGGCAGAGACTGAACGTGCAGAGGCCATCATGTTCCTTGCCTCGCTGCGCGTTCGGTGGGCTGAAGCCCTGGAAGACCTGGCTGCGCTCGAGAAATCGTCCATCTCATTGGTGGAGACGTGGCAGGCCTACGAGACGGTAACCCCCCTGGTTTTACTTCTCAAATGCCCTGAAACGAGTTCATTGAGGTATTGTCTTGGTGTCTTCAGGAGGCCCAGACCCTCTACGCGTGGATGATGGAAGCGGAAGAGAAGCTGAAAGGAAAGGATACGTCCAGCAAGGAAAAGCGTTTTTTGCTATCCCAAGTGAAGAAGTGGCGTGAGCGACTGAACGCTCTGCAGGATCTTGGCGCCACGCTGATTGGTCAGTCAAGCGTCTCCGCTGGCCAGGCCATAAACACAGAGCTCGTGACCATGCTGAAACGCCTGGAGAGCATCAGCAATGAGGTAAGGCATTATTGGCCTCTTTTCCGTGGTTAGCGGTGATTTTTTACTGGATCAACCTCTTTCGCGTAGGTTACCAAGTCGTGTCAAGCCGAGACGGTTGAGAGTTTAAAGCGTGACTTCGAGGCGGTGGTGGGTAGGATGAATGACATGCTCCAGGCGACCGTGGACTTGTTGAACAAGGAGGTCCAGTTGCCGCAAACCACCAGCATTCAACGAGCCGAAGAGGCGACGTTGGAATACCGAAATCTACTGAAGGCTGCTAAAGAAAGCTTACTGAAGGACGTCGAAATCCAATATCTTGTAAGTCGTCAATTGATAGGCGTGACATTCAGCTTTCAGAGGCTGTAAGTTTGTTTAATGTCGATGTTAACACGAAGTAAAAAGTGGACATTATCGACCGATTTCACGTAATGGCTTAACAGACAGCATGCGCTTGAACTAGTGAAGGTTTTTCACTCAAATTTGACAAACGTCGTTCTGGTCTACCTACTGAAATTGATTGACAAAGTCAATAGCATATAGAGTCCTGGACTCGTTCGCAAGCTCGGTATTTGGTTTCTGCATACAAACCGAAAGTTTCCACTTAACACAACCAATCGGAACCAGTGATTCGCATCTGAAACGCAGTTGGATCGTTGGCACTTGTCTGGGTTTATACTTCATCAACCTGGAAGTTACACGGCTGTCTGAGATCATTCAAACGCCACTTGGATCAATATTGCTGTTTCCGTGCCTTCAGCTTGCAAAAGAAATTTCAGAGAAGCTGATGGCAGCCGCTAGAGATGGTGACATTGACTATGCAGAAGCGGACCGTTGTATGCAGGAGACTGATCGTCTGAGGCAGAAGCTGATGCAAATGGCAGAGGAGAGCATAGACAACCGGCTCTTGGAGTTGTCGATGGCGATGCGCGAAGCCGTGCTGGTGGCAGTGCGGCTCGCTGAAATGTCCGAGTGGATTGAAGAGGCCGAACTAGCGACGAATCTGGAGATTCCAACCACCCCCGAGGAGGTGAAGCTTGACGCTCTCTCCTCCATCTCCCCAGACGAGGCGATCCGTCGACTTAAAGTGAGTGTAAATCACTTCTCATTCTGTTGTTTTCAAGTTTACAGCATCACCGATCAATGATTGCAAAGATTAGAGTTCAGGGAAACCGAGTGTAGAAGTGATTGTGTGCGGAACCAATCAGATGCCAGTTTGGATGTGATTGGTGGATACGATGTCCAGGTGCACTTTTCGATCAATCAAGCTAAAACAATTTTCCAAACTGAAAAATAGATCAATAATTGAGACCCACATTGCCTCGATGATGTTTTTTCCTAAATTTTGTGTTTTCAATCGATCCGCACATTCTTATGGGGCTGATTACTTGTAGATGCATTGCAACAGCATAAACGCTCAGCAGAAGGCACTTGAAGAGGCAGAGGAACGGTTAAAAGAATTGAAGACCAGTGGTCTTCGATGTGTCGACGTCTCTCAACTCGAAATGGCCATCGCGGAAACTCGTGAACGCATAAAAGTGAGTTTATATTGCTCAAGAGGTGTCTACGTTGCACTCAATCGATTCCAGAAGCGTCTGGTGCACAGAGAATTAGTCATTGTGACCACTTGAAGTATCATCTATGAAATTGGACACTTATTTTGGAATGCCTTCCTTGTAGGTCATGCTGGAGCAAACTCTGAGACGTGAAAATCTCCTAATTCGTCAAAGACAAGCTCGTGAGGTCACAATGAGCGCAGCAGACGCCTTCGAGACGTGGTTGGTTGAAGCTGAGGGAGTCATAACCAACTCACTGGACGCTGTGCTCCCCCTGAACGCCAACAACCTCATCGGCGCCACCCGTCTGAGTCATTGGAGCCTTCATTCTCTAGAGGAACAACGAAACGCCCACGAAACCTTTTGCGAGGAGCGCATGGAGGACGGGTCTGTGTTGTTGAAGAACATGGACGAGTGCTACGGCAAATTCATGGAAATCTGGCCGGAAATTAGCGTGGCGCAACCAATGGCTTCTGACTCCGAGGCGATGGTCTACATCAAAGAGGTGGTTTCGCGAGTGAAGCTTCTTACTCAGCGCTACTTGGTGAGTCACCTGCTACCAATTGCTTTTACTCACACGCGGGTCAATTGCTGATTGGACAAGCTGAAAGCGCTCGCCTTTTGAGATGGCCTCGTCTGTGATTAGTTCGTCGGGTGTCGATTGGTTTGTCCCAGAATGCTCTTACTATTGGTAGTCTTAGCCTCAATTTATTATTTTTTTTCAAATGCCAATCTAGGATGTCAGTCAGAAGTCCTCTCGCGCCCTCCTCACGGTCAGATTTGCGATAATTGACTTTAAAATCGGCGAAAAATTGCTCGAAGCCACTGAACGCTTGCGCCAAGAGGAGTTGCGTATTGAAAACGGAGAAGAGGTTTCTCTGATTCTGAGCGAGCACGAGGTAAGTAAATTTTGCCTGGCTAGGGAGAAAAAAGTTTATTTTTTTAAAATTATGCAAAAATAGCCCAGTTAAATGCTGTGGTAGCAAATTGAGCGTTTTTCTGTGTCTCCGGAAAGGGCGGACTCTGCTGTACTGGCCTGTCTTTCACCCATGTCAACCAGGTGCCTTTTTTTGCGTTGGTGTTCTTTTTCCAAATAAATTTTCTGACTCCTTTATTAGCTTACGCGGCCACGAGCTTTCACAGGGGTCGATTCTTCGCACAAATCTCGACGTTCACCGCTTTTTACCACAAAATTTTGCAAGGGATTATGCAAAACCCGGGTAGCATTTTGGCTAAATGGCACACGTGCATCAACCAATCAAATCCCCCAATTTAAAAGCGCGCGTGGCCGAAGTAATTGCAAGTGGAAGTCTGAGGTGAATCGGTTAAAAAAATCGATTTTTCACTGAATCAGCGTCCTGCGGCCTCGAGCTAAGTACGAGTGCACTTGAGACCGCAACTCTTAAGTCAGCTGTGTCGCCGAACTAATCAAACTAGTTTTATTGATTTTTGTGCATGCGTCACCTGACTCGCTGATGTGTGTTGCAGGCTTACTTCTTTTCTCCTGACTTCGTGGAGGAGCTGCCTGCGATGATGGTGGAAATGGAGCACGTCACGAGTGAGCTGGTGAAGCTGGAACCCGAAGCAGCTGTGCACTTTGCCAAGCGGTCGGAGGTTCGATCTAAGACTCACTCAGATCTGAAATTTCGAGCCGAACGATTGGCTACTAACATGCGCGATTTACCAGAACGCTGGCTAGATTTCGACGCCAAGTAAGCCTCTGAAGTGTCTTCCTCCCGCGTACCCTGTTAGGTCGAATTTTCTCAACGATTTTGTGCCTTTCACTCGTAGACTCGGTGGTTTGGAGCAGTGGACGAACGAACTGGAGGGACTGGCCAATCAGCTGTGCTCGGAGGGGTTCCCGGGTAGCGAGGAGCTGATGGATCCTGAAGTTGCCGCTGAAATCGCTCGTCGTTATCGTGCAATGCTAGAGAAGTTTGAGCAGATGGCTGACTCAACCGGCCCCAACATCTCCATGGCCGAGCGGTTAAATAAGATGCTGCAGGATCTGATTGCTGAGGGTGGACTCTCACCAGCTGAAGTGGCGAATCGTCGCACTTCCCTAGCGCGCGTCCTGAACAGCCTCCACGATATGGAGGCCGTCACCTCTAGTGTTCTTCAAACAGGTTTGTGAGCCGGATTGATTAAAAACACAGATTGTTGCAAAGATGGTTGACTGTGTTTGTATTTGAATTGTAAGCCGCATTTTTGCTGTTAATTTTAGCCGAGAAAATCGTTGGTTCGCTGGATTTTCAAGCTGCAGTGGCAAATGAACAAGACCGAGCTAAGCGCATTCGAAACCACGTGGAAGAGGTCCTGAATGAGACGTCACTGCAGTCCCTCGACTCGGAAGAGATGCGTCGTCTGTTGGCAGAACGCGAGGCTCTGATTGCGCGCGTTAATGAGGAGAAGAAGGCGTCTCTGGCCTTGTTGATGCATCGTTCGACCCCGCAGCCTTCGCAAGAGCATCGAATGCGTCCTGCAGAGGAGAGGCTTCTGCAGGTATGGGAGGATGTCGATCGGATGATGGAGGAGAAGGCAGCGAGTATGCGGACGGCCGCTCAAGCCAGTGAGCAGTTCGATGAGGTGCGGAATAGACTGTCCATTCTACTCGGAGGAGCCAACTTCCTGCTCAAGGGAAGTCCTAACCCCGGTCTTGCCACGGCGTTCTCCCGTGACGGCGTCTCCAGAGAGGCGCTAGAGGCCTTTGCCGTGGATGCGGGCGACGATGTCGAGCATGGCGGCAGCGTGGAAGATATTGCAGCTCGTGGACCCTCTGCGCTTCAACAGCAGGTTTCTGCTATACGAGCTCATCTAGAGTCACTGGAGAAAGCCGAAGAGGACATCAGGAAGCTTCGTGCTGCCGCCGACACCATCTCTGAACAGCTTGGTCCTGAGAAGTCAGCCGAACTCGAGTCCATCATTGCAAAGTTGGAACGAGACCTGGCCTCCACGAAATCAGCTCTGGCAGCCCGACTTGCAGCTCTGGAATCGGCGAATTCCCGTTGGACGGAGATATGTGAAAATGCTCGACGTCTGGAGACCACCGTGAATATCCATGAATCTACTCTCGAGCAACTGAGATTACACGTCGACGAAGTAGCCATTGAAAACGACGAAGAGTCTGACATACATTCCATCGGTGACGTATACCACCAGTACCTAAAAAAGTGTGTCCAGGAAGTTAGCCAGCTTCAATCAACTGTTGCTGACTTTCGTGTTGAGATCAAAGACGTTGATTCTCAACTTTTGGCCATGCTGACCGTGAAAAAGATGGACGAAGATGGAAATTTAGTGGAGACAACCGTGGATAGTGTGGATCCAGAAGTGGCGGATATTCAAAAGACCCTTGCAAGCATTTTACTACGCCAGAATGGACTTAGTGACGCGTGCACTTCCCTAGAAGTGCGTATTACTTCAACGATGTCTGCCATTGACGAATACTCCAAGTTGGTCGATTCAATGCAGGCTTATCTAGCCAAAGTGGGGAAAATTCGGGAAACGGAGGTCATCTTCTCGGATCTTCCTGATGCCGTGAAAGTCAAGGAACAGTTAAAGTGTCTGCTGGAAGAACGACAGGCCGAATTCGGCGACGTGGCAGTTCGAATGCGGACATTCATCTCTCACTTGAACAAAGTGCCTCAACTTGCAGTGAGTGGTACTCAGTAGGGTGGGATTTGAGGGTTAAATGTGACTTGTAGCGTGCCAAGTTCTCTAGACAAAATAGATTGGCTTTGCTAATTATCGTTTTCGTAGCATTTAGTCTTGAAACGGTCATTTACGATGGCCGTTATGTGGCATTTTACACACATAAATAGTGTCAGTATTGGTACCATGAGATTTGTTTTTTGTTTTAATTTTGTAATAGGCCGCAGACAACGACCTGAGGCAACGCTGGGAGGAGGCCGCTAATTGGTTGTCTACGCGCGCGTCTTTCATCGACGCCCTCATTACTGATTGGCGCACGTGGTCCAACGAGGTGAATCAGCTCTCAGACGAGCTCACTCAATTGGCTGAAGATGTTGAGCGCGCGTGCACAAAGGCCATACCCACTGCCAGACGTGGCAACCTCGTAACGCGTCAACTCGAACAACTGAGGCTACTGAAGGCGCGGTGGAAGGGCTTGAAGCCGCAGACGGAGGTACTTCTAGCCCACCTCTCCAGCGGTGGTGGCGGCGGCGGCTCCAAGCTCACCATGGCAACCTCGGATCACGTGGTGCCGCGCAGGTACACAATGGTGGGTGACCAGGTGCGCGGGCTGTACACGATGCTCGAGGATTTGAACGCCAAGTTGGAGGATGAGTTGGACGCGCAAAACAAATTCACCCGCGACGTCGAACGCCTCATTCACATGATCTCCATGGCTGAAAAACGTCTCTCGAAAGTTACGGGGATTTGGATCCCATCGGCACCTACGCTCTTGCTTCAGCGGATCGCTCAACCACAAGCCCAACACTCAATCGGTAAGATGTGTCCCTAATTTCGATGTAGCTTCGTTCGGCGGCTCAAATGTAACAATCAATCGCTATTATCTTTTTTGCGTGCGGAAGAACAAAAGTTTTACGCATTTGAGGTCCGAAATTCATGAGTGAAAAGTCCTGTTAACCGGGGTACGGGCCACGAAACTCCAACTCCGAATTCTGAAAAGCACAAACTACCAACTAACTCAAGGCAACCTCGTCAGGTTCTTCAAGAAAACTAGAATACAATGAAATTGTCAAACTGCTAAATCGATTAAATCTGTCGAGAGAATTAAAATGAAACGCGACAGGTCCATGCTGTTCCTAACAGGGTTATCGCATATGACCTTCAGGAGTCGAGGACTACAATGATTTCGAGAGATTAATCCACAAAATTTCGACAACGTGGAGATCCAGGTTAGCTGACGGGATCTGGATGGTCGTGTCTCCATCTACCCGCAGCACAGAGGTTGTCTGAACGCCGTGGAGGGATGTTCAATACTGGTGTAATTCGATTTATGGATAGACATGTTGTCTGGACGAGGATTTGTAATCAGCGAGTAATGTCTGGTTTCGATTTTATCGGTTGTATCGGAAATATTTGCCGCCTCAACAATTACCTACGTCCAAACCAACAAAGGTCGATTTGAACTTGGACGGCCAAAGCGCTTTAGCAAAGCGGTTCGCAGCTCCTACGAAAAACAGCTTGCGTAGATTGCGTGTGATTGCGTATGGCAGATGGGTGGGTCACAGGAAGTGCATGTGCGTGCATCCCCGCGCGTGTGTCTTTGATGCCCCGGAAACGTTTCACCGGCTGACTCCTGTCCCCCTTCTCCATCCCCCCCAAACACCCCAACTCCCTCTGTGGGTACACACCCAAGAAACGAGCCTCCTGGTGAGTCAACAGACGTTCAGCCTGAGTCTGCATTAGAAGCAAAATGTTAGACTTCGCGTCGATTGGTTCGACCTACAGCAACTGGCTAGAGAAGTTACACAATTACAAGGGGGTGGGGTTTGCAACTTAACTGGCCATCGTAGATTTAATAATGTTTGATAAGTAACCATTGTTACGATGGAACACGGTTCCTTTGTGACTTTCCAATTCTGACCACTTATCGTCAATTGCTTCCAGATCGAGTTTCATTGGCTGTCGACACCCAACGTCTGATATGATTGGCTGGTTATTTGGAATTTGCAATTCAACACAATTTACACCAAACTCAAGAGGTTTGGCACATAACCAATAGGCAAATGATCTGATCCAAACACAGTGTACTTATACACAGAGAAGTTCTTATTATACTAAATGTTACTAATGATCATCGAGCACCTCTTATTACAGTTTAATTAGCCGTCAACTGTCAACGTCTGATTTGATTGGCTGGTTGCCTTGAAAGTTCAAAAATACACAACACATCTGTAATCATATTCTATTGACAACACGAACCTAATTTAATTGCAATTCCGGAGCTTTCGATTTGACTCTTCACACTTACACCGCGGTAGTTTTGAATCATTTTATCATCAATAGTAATTCTTTTCTACCTATAGCACCATGATAAGACCGTGATTGGATTCGTTTATGCTACTGATTTGGTTCTCATTTATTTCAGTAATTCGATCAGTGTGATTCTAAACTAGAAACTACGGACGTCTAAAGACTACTTCTAACCTTTTTATAGGTGTAGATTGTAATTACGTTTCTGCCAATCAAGTATTTACGCATTTTTTTTTAAAAAAATCGATGCCTCTTTCTTCCTAATGGTTATTGTGCCACGGTTCAATCTGTCGTAAATATTTTTTACCTAATTTAGCTTTTAATCACACCCGATTAATCCCTATGTTAAGGGGCGTTTTCTGGTACATCTCCAACTTGCTTAATTCCTTATTTTTCTGCTCTTTCAGACGATTCTAAGCCGTTAAAAGAGATGGAAGGTGGCACTGAAAAGGCCGTTGATAGCTACCTCAATTTGAACGAAGCTATTGACGAATTAAAGTCTCTCTTCGCAGAGATAACAGGCCCAATGCGCATGGCCCTTGACTCCCTCGTGTCGCGCATCGACCTCCTCGACAACTCGCAGGTCACTGCGCAAGACAGACTGCAGCCTGTCTCTCGCGAAATGAACCTTCTTGCGTTGCGCGCCCTGAAACGCCAGTACATCTGCGAAATGAGCTTGGCGTACGGCCGAAGTCGCGAAAGCTGGTGTACCAAACTTCGTGGAATGCGTTTGCGCCAGGAGCAACTCATTAGCTCTGGTGAAACTGTTGAACTTCTCTCTTCTGTCCCTCCCACTGCCGACGACACTACAACGAAAGCTCTGAAGGCCATTCCTGTTGATGTGGACTATCGGAACGACTGTGGTTCGTGGTTGAACGCACTCACAGCTGCGAAGGTCGAGATCCTGGCCTACAAGTTCACCGCCGAAGTACCTCAAATCCCCGAAGTGCTTCGCGATGTTGAGGAGGAGGTGCAATTTGAGGCGGACTTCACGCCGCAGGAATTGGACACGGCCTCCATCGCAGCTGGCATCTTCTTTGTCACGGGTAGACGGGATGAGGTGGTATCGTCAGCCGCGTCGTCCCTAGAGCCCTTCAGCTTCTACGTGGACGTTGGCCGACTTATTAGCGATTGCGATCGCTTGAAAGCAGGTCTGCTGACTCACTGGAATTCCCTCGAGGTCTACTGTAACAGCTGGAATCGCTTCGTAAGGGGTTGTGAAGATTTCGAGAGAGATACTACAGAGTTCTTGGAAAAGACTTTCTCCCTGGTGAAGAGTGCCGTTGATCTCACAGACACGCGATTAGATCGACCAGGGAACCATAAGAGGTTAGGCGAAATCGCCATCCAATTCAAGGATTGGCACGTGGCGTTTGCTTCACCAATGGAAGTCAAAGATGTGACAGACCTTCCACTCGTCTCCCGTCTCCGAGACTTGAAGAAAGAGGGTGACAAGTTGGTGGAATTAGCGCCTGCTCGAACCTTGTCAATAAGAACTTTGGCTGCTGGTAACCAAAAGGTTCTACTTGACGCCTCCGTTCGGCTCAGGGAACTAGCTTACCAGTTGGAGAGACTAGTCAGAGCTTTCGATAACCGCGAGATGTCAATTAAGGAGGCCAGTGATCTACTAATAGACGTGGAACACCAGTCAGGGCTTCGGTCTGTTGGGAGTCTGGCTTCCAAGCTACTAGGACGAGACGTTTCGCCTGAACTGATGGATGCTAGTGGTCTTGAAATGAGCATGTCCTACCAGTCAGATCTAGATGCTCTGTTGAAGCGGGTCGCCTCTTCCAAGGATCTTTCCCACCTGCTTGCCAAACTGTCGAAGGCGCGAGCCTTCATGCGGGCTCACTTGCCGCCGAAGCTTGTGCATCTCCAGCAATCCAGCACTTCGGCTATTTGTGCATTTGAGGCGATCATGCACGAGGACGCGAAACCTCCTATCGAACGCTTAGAAGACGACACCTTGAGGAATCGCCTCACAGCAAGGTGTCAGCATCTTTCCGACTTTATGGATGAGGCAATCAAACAACTCGAGAGCAAGTACCAGACAATGGTCCTGATCGAAACAAATATCGACCGGGTCTGTACTTGGATCAATGAGTTCCTCCCACGGGCTCAGTCAGTGAGCCATGTGCTGTCTGTTTCCGCAACCGAGTCCACGATCACGGAGGCCCTTCAGTTCGCCGAAAAGGTAGAAGATCCCACCGATTTGTTGGAGCTCTTCGGCGTTGAACACAAGCACTACTCGGGACTATTTGAGCTCATGAAACTGGAAATCCACACGGACGCCGATCTCCTTAGTCCGGTGTTCGGTTCTCAGATTAAAACAGTTGACACGCGACTCGATAATTTAGTGAGTGCCGTCAACCACATGGAAGAGCTGTGGCAGTTGCATCTCCACAAAGACGAAGTTTTGAGTCAGGAGTCGATTCGAGAATCGGAAAATCTTGCAGTTCTCGTTGACCGACTGGATAAAGCTACTTTACAGAGCGGGTTCACATTGCTTCCGACGGCTTCTTCTAAGGAACGTGTGGATGCGATGGAACTTCTTTCACAGTCCCTCGAAATAGTGCAGCAAGTGAGAATAGAGTACGTTGCCATGGTTTCTCGGATCGAGGCGCTGTCTCAGCGTTGCCTCAATCGTGACACACTTCGAATGCATCTAAGACGAAGGAGGCTTCTAGAGCAACAGGGGGAAGAAGAAGAAGAGATGACGGCGACCGAGGATAAACCGAGGGATTCACTGGAGGGTCTTTCGAAGCACTGCGCCAACCTCACGTTTAGGCTAGCCTCGTTGGATTCGATGTTGAAGCGCAGCACTGAAAACATCTACAAGCGCATGACAAAGATTCAATCAGACGCCGCCAACTCCTGGTCCACTCATCTAAACGCGTTGGCTGAGGACATTGAGAGGTTGAGCAGTTTGGCGGAATTGCCGCTTCTGCTTAAAGCCGATCGTCGTGAATTCGCGACGAGCTTCTTCACCTGCCGAAAACAAGACGTTCAGGTTAGTTCCGGGGGGGGGGGGTTGATTTCTCACTACCTCACTAATTTGCTAACTGGTTGTCATTTACGACAAGTATAATGCCTCTGTTACGGAAAAAAATCACGTGTTGGCAACCATTTCATTCAGAGACTCGTTGACCTACATGGACGTTTCATCCCAGCCAATGAAACGCTGAACAGACGGGTGAATTACCGGGGTGTCTTATTGTACCAAGCACTGGTTATGGGGTTAAAAACGATCCGGTTGGCTGCGTCAACTTAAATAAGAGCACTTAGCACGTAGCCAATGAGAATAACGTTCGGAAGTGGGTTGACCAATAGATTCTGAGGAAAAAATACCGGTAATATTGGTATTTGTATTCATTTGGAAAGGATTCACAGACCAAAGTGGACGTACTAGAGTCGGAGCTGTCTCAAATCGCCGATGTGCATCGAATTGCGGAGCGTTCTTCACGCTACGAGGAGGCACCAAAGCCCACCGGCATCGGTGATGAAGCCTTCACACAGAAGAATAAAGCCAGAATTGCTTCGTTGAGGCAGAATCTCGCTCAATATGCCGTCCACATTGGCGAACTGGAGTCACACGTCACCAAGACCTTTTCAACTACGTCTTGCGTCGAAATCGCATTGGGCAAGGTGGAACGCCACCTCGAAGCTGCCCTCACCACTCTGGAGGAGTCGTTGGATCTGAGGAATAGCGAGAGTTGCCTTGCTCAATTAACGGTGAGCACATTCCACGAAGATTCCAGGTCATCAGCTTGCAAGATCTTACCAATTATTCCCAACTACCCCTAATTCCAGTTTCATTGGTTGTTGGCCATAAACGTCAAATTTGATTGGCTTGTTGCTTGAAAGTAATTCAAGATGCTAGATTAAGCTGCTTTCGTTTAAGTTATCTACGTCTTATTCGTAATAATTAGCAACACTTACATCCACGTTTGCTTCATGCAAGTATGAGTTTCAGGAAGAAACGAATGTGGGAGAAGCTGCCAAAACTGTTCAATGTGCTTTTAGCGAGAGTGTGGTTGCAGAAGTGATTTTCCTGATTTTGAAGTGGGGGTTCCAATTTGAAAGACAAGTCAAAATGGGCAGCCCCAAGAAGCTTGAATCTCCAGACACAAAACTTCCCACTACAATTTCCGGGGCACATGAATCATCCTGATAAAATTCAGCTATTGCCAACGTGGTCTGGTCAGTTTATCAGGATTGCCACCAATAGTTGTGTACGACCCAGTCCTTATCGTCAGTGATGATTTCCATCCCAAAAGAACAGTTTAATTGCACTTAAGATGCAGATTACGAGTGCCGATTCGTTGTTATGACGAAACCAAATGTCATCCTTCTTTATAAAATTCCATGACATATTAAGTGATTTTCATTTGTAGCGTTTGAATATCCTACAGTTAAACATCTCTCTGCAATCGGTTGCGTGGTTTTATTACCACGATCTGATTACGGCTGTGATTCAGTCATCAGCAGTATCAGAGGGTGGATTTGAACGACTTTAGTCAACTCTGAGTGAAGA